GTCAGAAATAGCAAGATTGAGAAAGTAATAGTTGCTCCGATGCCTGAGGTTTCTGTCCAGGATGAAAGCAAGGATCACCAGGACGTTGCCGAGGATAGTGATCAGAGCGAGCAACACCATGAGGACAGCCAGCAGCACCAGCACGCCCAGCGAAAACTCGGAGCTCGAAGGCTGTGTGGGCAAAGTCCCATTAAACATTCCAGCTGCGTATGGAGTTGGGGCTGTGCTGTTGTCCATGTTGCGTACCCAGGTCAGTTCGGTCTGGGAAGAAAGTCGCATCTGGCAGAGTTATCCCAAATGTTGAGACAAGTTTATTAACGGGCTGGGCTGAATCCTGACATATCCAAAAAAATTCACAATATCAAAATACTGGAACACAAGACTTCGAGGCCTGGAGTCTCTAACATTCCTTGAACTGAATGCGTCTTTTGATCTGAAAAGAAAATCTGTAAAAAAGACACCTAATAAGTAACAATGAGTTAATACTTCAAAAATAAATTTTCTCTTTCTGAATGCTGATCCTTATCTACTGAGGTTAGAAAAGTGAGCCTGAAAACAACTCTTCACAGTCAAGTAGTTTGCATATTAGGATTGTGTAAGCATTTTTACGTACTGAATTCCGCTGAAGCTAAAAACGGATCTCATTTTCACTTCCCCAGTGGTCAACAGGATTTAAATTACTATAATTCTCTTTCTCTTACAGTAAAAGTATACATTGTTACACTTGCTGCTCTACCACTTACTAAATTTTGCAGTTAAGAACAGATGTATATTTCTTAATGCTGTTAGATAGAGAGGATTTAAGATCCAATTATACACAGCAGAAATATCACCAATATCATTTCAGCTCGTTCTAATCAGAAGCAAGTCCAGCCCTGAGCACAGTAAATCAAATACCTGGATTTTGGAGGACTTCATAAGCACGGCCCATCTAATCCTCTGCTTCCCAAGTAATTCCAGGTAAGCTTCCACTCCACCAAGCACCAAGCCCTTAGCCCTTTGCAGGTGTGAGAAGGCGTATCCCTTCCTCGTCACAATTTTATTTATTTTGGTAGAAGCGCACGGATGCCAGCAGCTCACCAGTTTCACAGCAAAACAGCACACCCTGTGCCGGCTTTTTGAACTGCAGCCATAATGTTGTGGGCTTGGGAAGGCGGGGTGAGACACAAGGAAAGAGAGTGGGCAAAGTGTGGGGAGGAGAGGTGCGGTGCTTTGATTCTGTCTTGGGGAACAAAGGGAAATACATTGTAAAGAGTAACTACAGCAAAAGGGCAACGGGAACAGAACAGCCTCGACATATGATAAAATGTGTCAAATGGGCACCTGCCTCCCGTGTGTGTGCACAAAACATAGAAACATAGAACTGTCAGGGCTGGAAGAGAACTTAAAGATCATCTAGTTCCAACCCTCCTGCCATGGATAGGGACATCACCCACTAAATCAGGCTGCTCAGAGCCCCATCCAGCCTGGCCTTCAAAACTTCCATGGATGGGGCTGCCACCACCTCGCTGGGCAACATGTGCCAGGGTCTCACCACCCTCATGGTGAAGAACTTCTTCCTATCATCCACCTGATAATCACACAGGAGGAACTAGAGTTTCCTTGTTCAGTCACAGAGCTACTACTCCTGAAGCCAGTGACATGAGTGACATAGCAGTGGACGTGTGTTGCAGAGCACCCCAATCAGGATGAGGAAGGTGATCAAACCTTCTTTAAGTAAATCAAGGAAGCCTCTAGACTATAGACCCTGTTTATTGTGTAGGACTTCAATGGTCATGATATCTGTTGGAAGGGCAACACGGCAGGTACAAGCAGTCAACCAGATTCCTGGAGGAGGATGTCAAGGAGAACTTTCTTATAAAAGTACTGGATGGGCCAATGGGGTTGACACACAGCTAGATCACCCATTCACTGGTAAAGAAGAGCTAGTTACGCATGTGTAATCTATGGTAGCCTTGGTTGTAGTGACTATGACATAGTGGAGTTCAGGATTCTACAGGGGGTGAGGAGGAAGAGTAGCAGTACAGACCATGGACTTCAGGTGAGCCGACCAGTTTATTCAGGAAAGTGGCAGGTGAGGTCCCATGGGAGGCAGCTCTGAACTGCAGAGGAGCTCAGGGAACCTGAAGGCCTCTAAGGACAGCAGCCTCTATGCACAAGAAAAGCTCATCCCAGTTCTCAAGAAGACAAGTAGATGTATCAGGACGCTGGCTAACCAGGGAAGCCACAATGCAAAAAGGCAGCACAAAGGATTTTGAAGCAGGGACATACTACGAAGGAAGAATTTAGAAATGTTGCCTGGCCACATAAGCATGATCTTAGGAAAACAAAAGCTCATGTAGAATTGACGCTTGTAGAGGACATCAAGGACAATGTGAAGAACTTCAGCCACCCCTTTAACAATTAAATGCTGAGTAAGAAAAAAGTAGATGCTTTGCCAAATGAAGCCAGTGATCCAGCTACAGCAGATGTGAGTAAGGCTGAGGTACCCAATGCTTTTTTTATTCATTTGTCATTAGCTAATTCTTACTTTCCTCCATGCTTAGTGAATGAGTTCACGTAGGAGACCTATAAGGAGCAGGTGAGAATAAGGCAGGGGTTACCTGAGAGAATTTGACCCATAATTATCCATGAGATCCAATGGGCTGCACCCAAGATTGCTGAGAGAACAAGCCACCGCCACTGTAAGGCCTCTTCCTATACTCTTTGGAAGGTCATGGAGATAAAAGGTTTCCAGCAACTGAAGAAAGGCAAATGTTGCAACCATCTAGAAATGATGCCACAAGGACAAAAAGTCAGCATGTCTTTGGTCCCTGGGAATATAATAGAGCAAGTTCTTTTGGAAGGCATTTCCAAGAATCTGAGAGAAGAAAAGGTTACTGGGAACATACAGTGTGGATTTACCAAGAGTATATCATGCCTGGGCAACTTGGTTGTCTTCTTTGATAAAATGACTAGATTAGTGGACAAGGGGAGAGTAGTCATTTGCTTTTAAAAATTAGGGGGGTAAATCAAATGTTGAAGTTTCAATTACAGTCCTTCATGAGGCTGAGGAACAAATCTATGCGGCCCCTTCCTCCTTCCTTCCTGAGGAGGAAAACCCTAATTTAACATAATGGAGAGTCACTAGGGTTAAATACTCTTCCCAGAAATAAACACGCAAATAAACAAAAGATAATACAACTTCTTCCAACATTTTATTTGTTGTTTTTTTAAGACCTGAGAGGGTCAAGTTAGAAAACACTGCTGCAGTTTAAGTTGAACTTCACAGAGTCACATGCCTACTGTCACCACTTACAAGACCAGCTGGACATATACAAAACCAAGAAAATTCAAGGACATGGTGAAATGGGTGAATAAGTGAGAGACCTGGCTTAGAAATCACTTTGGCAAGCAAAACCCATTTGTGTCAGTGCATAAAAGGTAAGCCCAAGAAAAAATGCTGAGTAAATATCTTACCGTAACTCTGCAAAATACCCAATAGGGAGAATAAGACTTAGGATGCCACCTTGACCAAGACAGCTGTAACGCTGTGAGCACAGCAACTAAGTGCTTGAGAGTACTCAGCAAAATTTTCAACAAGCAGAAAAATACAAGTTCTTCAAATATACAGCAGTGGTGTGACAAAAGATTTTGAACACCATGTGTATAATATAGAACATTAAATACATTGATCTCCAGTAGCTTCACTACTCTACATGCATTCAAAGTTGCTGCACATTGTGCTCCCTGACGAAATAGTTTTCCAGTACTGCAAAATGTGGATACAGTTTACCTTGTCAATAATTTTGTAGGACATTTTCCCGAATGTTCATACTAAAAGCACAGGGATAGGAAAGCAGGCAATTCAAATACTTTCCCATTTTGGGCCTACCTTTAATTTCCCTGTTTACTTAGCACACCAGCTATTCTATAAATGTTTTAAATGTGTGTGCTTTGTTTTTTTAAGCCTCACAGAAAAACAAACCCCACAAAATCTATGCCAGCATCTTAGTTCATGATGGTGAAAACAGCTGTGCTGAATCAATTACCTCCTCCTGAAGCTGTCTCTCTCATAGCAATCAGGCTCACAATCCATAACACTATCCACATGAGGCAAGGAAGCACAATGAGAATGAATGGTGAAAGATAATCTTCCACCAGCACAAAAACTGGCAGAAGTTTTAAGTTCCAGACTTCTGAACAGAATGGCATTTTAGCTCCTCAAAGCCATCAACTTTTGTGCTACAATTAAACTTCCCACATGCATTTGAATCGTGCTTGCAAAGGAGTACTCTGCTCTTGCAATAATTCTACAGCCAATTTCGAGTTAGATTAAAAATACTATTTAAACTGATTATTGCTCTTCGTTGTTCTGTGCATCAGATTTCCCTTTCCATATTTTATACATTTATATATATGTACATACACAGAAGAAATAAAACCATATAAAAGGAGAAGAAAAGAATTTAACCAGTGACTCTCACTTACCCATCCATGAAAGCCTTCTGGGTGCGTTGCAACACCTACACGAGGTCAGAAAGTTTAGAACATGGAATGGGTTATAATCAAGCTCCATTTCCTTCTCCAGCACATCTACCCACTCCTTTCAGCACCTCACATTCAACTGTTTTTTTAACAGCTGCTTAAGATACCTCTGTGTCAACTTTCAGACCTTTGTGAATCCCATTCTCAAGCAGTGAATATGGCCTCTGTTCAGTGGTAGAAAAAATCCAGTTTAATACCAGTTCAGTGGCAGAGAAAATCCATATAATGTCACAGTAACGGGACACAAAGAACTGATCTTGTACAAAAAACACTCTTGTCAGTTCCCATTTGTTCCAGGCCTTTTGATGAAATATCTTTGCACTTGCAAAGCTTTGCACCCGAGAGGGTATTGTGTAGTCTCGCACAGCCAGCCAAAATCGTAAGTCCGGTATGAACCTTGTATTGCTTGCTCTGCTAATTCAACAGGAATGTGATCATGTGCCCAAGCCTGGCCTATCTTTTAGGTAATCAAATGCTGCACAAATCTGGCACTAATTATCATTTAAGCATGGCCAAAGGCACAACAATTGCCAGGGAAAAAGAGAGCACTGGTGAAAAACCATTTATGCCTGTAACAGTTTTGATATCTGATCTTAAAATTCCTTTATCATGGAAACTTTTGTTCTCTGAAAACCATCTAGAATTATTAACTTATGTGTACTGTGTCCTGCAACACCAAGTATGGACTATGTTAAAATTAGAAAAGCACAGATACACAGGATTAGGCAGTCCATTCACCTGTACACTGTTCACTGTGGGAATTATAGTGACTACAGGGCACTATTTTGTCTTCATAATAGCTTTAAAAATAAAATTAGACTCCTCCTGTGAGCATTTATGCAACCTTTTGAAAATGTAGCAGCACTGCTTCTTCACTGATAGATTTAGGTTCACAAATAGGTCACAAATTTTAATTCAGCACATACACAGACAGGCATCTCCTTCCAATGAACCTCTACTGGGATATCTATAGAAGAGTTCTTTCATAGTACCAGCTCTATATGAAAAAAAGAAAGGAAAAATGTACCTCAAACCTACAAATCAAGAAGGATATACAGCAAAATCTTGTTATTCTTTTCAGTGCTCTAGGTGGTGTTTAACGTGGCATCTCACCAGCAAAACCTAAAACAAGGTCCTGAAAACTATCAAGATCAGGGTAAATACTCTTCACAGTGCCATTAGTAAATAAACGTTTGTTCTCTATTTCTGTTGAAAATACAGATGAAAAAATAATACTAAATAAGAGAGGAACCTTTTCTGCAAGTAATTTATTTTATCTCTCTATACAGAAGTTCTATTACGTGATCTCAGTGATGAAAACTTTTTGGGACACAGTATTTTCATGAAAGCCATTCGAAACCTCATATGACAGAGAGGGTAAAGAAATGGGTTCAAACAAGAATTGATCCACAAAAGCCAAAAGGTTACTTCATACAGGGACTTATGATCACAAGTTCCTTGGCAGGTCCCACCAATAATCATGAGCAGAGTGTATGGGGCCCAGCAGATGGCAAATGCACACACAATGATGGCAAGTGACTTGGCTGCTTTCTTGTCCCGCTGCAGTTTTGAACCAGCTCTTGAATGGAGCGAAACAGAATAGTCCTTTTTGACAGCTGTGGCACTGGTTTGTGTTGGAGATGAACAGCTAACTTTCCCTTCTTCTCTCCATGACTTTGTGAATGATGAAACACTGTCTTCTGCATCAGACGGAGAAGATGCTCCCGGCCTTGGCAAGAGGCAAAATCTCCAGGACAGGCTGCTGCTCCTCGGAGGCTCGCCATCCCCCATGCTGCCGTGCCACTGGCGCCTCTGGATGTCGTGGAAGATGTGCCCATTGAAGTAGGTCACCAAGAGCAGTGGCACAAAGAACTCCAGAGTGGATGCACACAGGAGGAAGTACCTGTTGTCAAAGAACTCGGCGTAACACCGATCTGCCGCTACCACACTGCGTCCAGCCACGTGCTCCCAAAAGAGGATTGCCGGGCCGTAGAGGAGGAAGGCAAAGACCCAGATGGCCACCATCTTGATGACAGGGTTAGATGTTATTCCCTGCTGGGCTCTGTAAGACACCTGTGTAGGGAGAGGACATGTCATGTGTTCAGACAACATTTTGGAACAACTGTCTCAAAAAAACATATCAAGCCAAATAAAGTATTTGTTCTGTAATTCCCTAGACACCTTCACTTATGTAAGGTCCTGAAAAGCTGTTAGTCTTGCTCATCAAATACTGTGGATCTGTGACTGATTTTAATACTTGGGATAGAAGAAGAGCAGAAGTTATGATGGCTAAAGCACCATTTGGTTACCAGGTGTGAAAGAATATGGCTTTTTTTCATCATCACCACAGTGAGGTAGCAATAAGGAATCAGTTTATGATACATGAAATGCCCAGGCTCAGAGGAGAGTGAAAGGAGTTGTGGGGCTTCCTTCCCACACAAGCAAAAGCAGAAGCCTTCTATATTAGACAGGTTACCACGTGAGATTGCCAATGCTAGACAATGTAATTTTTAATACTGCTTCCTCTTGCCATAGCAGAAAAAAATCTATCCCACATATATGCTTTAACATCCCTTACTTTATTGAAACATTGTTTTAATACTTATTTTACTTTTTAAACAGCTCATTGTATTGACATTTTTATATCTACCCAGACTGCATTATTTTATTTTACTCTATAGCCATAAATATCTATCTTTGAAAAAAAATATTAAAATCATGTCATCCAAAGTTATAAAAATATGGCAGTTAAAAGCAGCCTTGTAACAGCCAGTATGTACAATACATAGTTCTGGCTCTTGGTCCCCTGCACCTTTCAGAGCTCAACGAGAAGCTGGACAATTTTATTTTCTCCATACTGTTCAACATTTGTCATCACAGGCTTTATTCAGATTCAGAACTACTACCTTCCTCATCAGCTTCCTATGTTGTTCATTAGTGTAGCACCTGCATGCTACACAAATATTAATGAACGGCATCTTCGCACTCATGAGACCTCACCTCGAGTACTGTGTCCAGTTTTGGTCACCACAGTACAAGAAGGACATCGAGGTGCTGGAGTGGGTGCAGAGAAGGGCAACAAGGCTTGTGAGAGGTCTGGAAAACATGCCCTGTGAAGAGCGGCTGAGGGAGCTGGGTTTGTTTAGTCTGGAGAAGAGGAGGCTGAGAGGAGACCTTATTGCCCTCTACAACTACCTAAAGGGAGGCTGTAGTGAGGCTGGTGCTGGTCTCTTCTCTCTAATTACTAATGACAGGACAAGGGGAAATGGCCTCAAGTTGCGTCAGGGTAAGTTTAGATTGGATATTCGGAGGAAGTTCTTTACTGAACGAGTGGTGAGGCACTGGAACAGGCTGCCCAGGGAGGTGGTGGAGTCACCAACCCTGGAGGTGTTTAAAAAAAAAGTAGATCTAGCACTTGAGGCTATGGTGTAGTGGTTAGGGATGCTGGGATGAAGGTTGGACTAGATGATCTTCAAAGGTCCCTTCCAACCCCTAACATTCTGTGATTCTGTGATTCACAGCTGCACACAACATGAGGGGCATTGTCCCTACTCCGTCAGTGAGTATCAGAGCAGCAGTGCAGTGTTACACAGGTTATTTTAGATGCTCTGCTTTAAACACCTGTAGCCTGAAGAGTCAAACTCCTCTACATAACAAAGCATAATATTGGCTCAGAGTACAGCTCTAGTTCTGCAGGCATGAATTTGCAGCACTTTGCAAGACCACAAGCATCTCAATTTAGTAGGCAGAAAACAGGAAGCTCAGCACAAGTTCACAAAATACTGGCCCCTGGCCACAAGCTAGGTTTGTGGCAGAGGTGGATCCCAAGTCCATGAGGAAGTATGATATCTTCTCTTTAGATAACAGCCCTATGTTACACACTCTGGGACTCGCTCCACTCTAATTACCTAAAGGAGAAAACCAGAATGTGACCATGTAAACAAAGGCCACCAACAGTGCATAAGAACAGGGAACTCAGATGGGTTGCAAAAGCCTTTTTAACTTACACTTCTCACATTCAGAAATCTACAACTTCATTAATACATATCAGCATGAATAGTTCTTAAATACAGGTATTTTCATACTTCATTGCTCAGCTTTTTTTAAAAAAACTCTTCAACAATTAACCTTAAAACCACAACAATGAAGAAGAAGTGAAAGAGATTAGGCATTCTACCAGTACTTCCGAAATGAGAACCTCCTGATCTAGCACAGCCTATTCCACCCAAGCTAACAGACTCATCAAATGCAAAAGATGTCAACTGTCTTCCATCTGGACCAAACACCACATAGAGCTTCAAATGATAATATTTACCATTGGATTCCTCAGATATCTTCTGAAGCAGAAGAATGATAATACTAACAACCTTTTACCTCTCCACGTGTTTTGATTCATTCTTCTTTTTTTTCAAGGGATTGTTTCTCATCCAACTGCTTGTTTGCAGCACATGTCAATCATAATCAGCAGCAAGACAGATCTCATTTTAAAATTTATCCCAAGCCTAAGCACGTCCTTGAGTCAACCTAGTTTTCACTACAGTGCTTCTGATGACTCAAGCCCCAGTTCTCCACATTCCTTGACCTTCCCACCTTCTCTGTAATTAAATAATTTCTAATCCAGGCAGCAGGAGGGAAACATTGAAATCACAGGCAAGGCACTGTCCTGTCTAAGTCCCAAAGCAACTTCGAAGCACCAACATTCATCCAGAAAAAAATGGTACAATAATGAAAAAATATTTAGCTCCTAATGTTACTTGTGAACACTCTTGATTTTCACAGAAATCTTAATATGTGTAAAGAAATAATGAGAAATGTTCTCTTACAGCTTTTGTAACTGACAGGAAACGGTCGTAGCTGATAAGGACGATGTTAAATACTGAAGCTGTGCACAGGAGATAGTCCATAATTAGCCAGATCTTGCACAGGCCCCTTCCCAAGTGCCACGTCCCTGTCAGAGCATAAGGGATGTACAAAGGCATACAGAACGCACCTGAGGAAACAAAGCACAGGCACAGGTTAGTCAGCACTGCAGGCAGTCCTCGTGAAAGTGCAGGAACTTCTCTGCCACGTCTGATGAAAGGATGATATCGACTGGAACTGCCATGTGGAAGGATTTGTATTCTCATGCAAACAGTGATCACTTTGCTAACAAACTAGGCACCAGTAACATTCTTATAACTAATAGCTTTCTGAAAAATGTATCATGTTATGGGGTATCATTATTACCTCTGCTGATTATATCACCTGCTAAAGGAAGAAACAGCTGGCTTTTGTATCTGCTGAAGTAAACGCCATTCTTTATCAACTACTAAAATTAAAACAAATAAATAAAGCCATCCTTTTCCTCTCCTAATGTAATTTACTACCTGTTTTCTAAAACAAATGATCTAACTGCCATGCTTCTATCCTCTCAGAAGCATGATACGGCGTCCAAAAGTGCTCCAGAAGTAGCTTTTGTAGAAATACAATATGAATTTCAGATTAATATTTAAAAATACATTATCAAAAGGCTGACAAAAACTGCACAGTTAATTAAGTACACTCAGTCTACTATTTCTTCATATCATAATTCTTGATCATAACCACTGTTTGGCGGTGAGTAGATATGGTATGATGTATGGAAACACAGTAAGCGGTGGGAACGTACATGAGTGACCTGCACTCAGGGCTATCTGGGAACGTACATGAGTGACCTGCACTCAGGGCTATCTAAATCTAGGCTGTTCAATCCAAATGTTGTGAAAGCGCCACTAAGATACCATTTTAATGAATCTCTAGGACATCACACAACACAGAGTCACAAAGTAGCCTTGAGAAGCTGAAGAGTAGCCGTGTTATTTTGCTATTTCTACTAAGAATCACGAGATCTCTACTCAAATCCTGCTACAGATCTAGAAGCACAGAGATAAAGCAAAAGTTGTTGAAGGCCAAAATCAGATAGATGAAATATATTAAAAGAAGAAGCAAAGGGCTCTGTAAGCATGAAAATGTGTGCTTTTACCAGTTACAATCAAGCAGAAACTATGTAGCTACAGAAATACAAATTGGTTTGACTCTGAAGCATTCAAATTTCTTAACCAAATTTAGAATGAAAAGCTAGACATTTAGGTAACCATAACATCACAAGCCAAAAAGTCATGGAAGTTAGGTAATACCAAGTAAGCTCTACTTCCTTCTCTGGTAGCGGACATTATTTACTTTGTACTTCTCGGTGAGACGCTGGTATTTGTTCAGTATCATGATAAACTGTGAACCAAACAACAGAACACCATTCCGTGCACTGCTTTTCTGTTCACTGCTGTGGGTTTTTTTCCTGTGTACTGTAGCCTGATGGCAGGCAGCAAGAGCTCTGCAGCACGACGAGGTAATTGTAAGTCAGAAGAAGACATCAAACATAATGAGGAAGGGATCAAAACATTACACAAGGAGATGTGGACATCAAGAGGACCAGACTATTAGAAGCCATGCCCCTAACAGAACTTCTGACACTGGCAATAAATTTCAAAGAGATTTTCTTCTATTTTTTCAGTACCCTTTTCAGATATGTAGGTAAAAAAACCCAGCAAAATGTTAGAATAAAAATAGTTTTAAAATATTTTGTTATGATGTGACTAGTCAGAATACAGATTTCATTAAGTAACCACATCCATTTAAAACCATCTTTCTGAACACTAAATAATTTAACAAAGACTTTTACCACAGGCACTCAGCACTTCACAGAATACTGCAATACATCAATCTCCAATTGTATATCACACTAACATTTTAATTGTACCTTTTTCCAGCACAAGCTTTGAAATAAAATGCATCTATATGTATAAACATATATATGTAATACTGAACTTCTTAGAAACTGTTTATTTGCCTGTACAAGCACATATTCCTAACAGATGAATCTAGATAGAGTATGTACTGCAAATTAATTAAAAATATTACTCATTGCTATTCAGGTGCAAACGTCAGGTTTGCAATCTATCTGTACTGTGCATGAGTAGACTGAAAGAGATATCAACCAGGTAGGCAAGATCTCCTGGATAATACACAATGTATTCGATTTGACTATCTCGGCTTTAGTTAAGACTCTTCACAAACAACTCCCATTCTTCGTTATTCCACACAGATGCACACACAGTAGTATTGTTTTTCCTGAAGCGGTAACACTAAATGTTACCTGTTTACCTGATGATCTATTTCTTTCTGAAAAATAGCAGGCTACTAAACCACTTCACGCAGCTTCCACCATTTCTTACCCATTCGACACACAGTTAGGAAAGAGTTCTCTTCAAAGAAAACACCCAGAAAATAAGCCCCACAGCTTCTCCTAACATTCTGAGGAAATTAATAGCACATGCCCCTACAGCTGTGACTTACCCACAGAAAAGTCAGAAATAGCAAGATTGAGAAAGTAATAGCTACTTCGATGCCTGAGGTTTCTGTCCAGGATGAAAGCAAGGATCACCAGGACGTTGCCGAGGATGGTGACCAGAGCAAGCAACACCATGAGGACAGCCAGCAGCACCAGCACGCCCAGCGAAAACTTGGAGCTCGAGGGCTGTGTGAGCAAAGTCTCATTAAACAATCCAGCTACGTATGGAGTTGGGGCTGTGCTGTTGTCCATGTTGCGTACCCAGGTCAGTTCAGTCTGGGAAGAAAGTCGCATCTGGCAGAGTTGTCCCAAATGCTGAGCTTCATAAGGAGTATAAACAGGCCAGGCCAAAAATCCAGTAAATACCAAAAAAAAATTACTCAGGAGAAGAAAGAAATTAAGAGGTTCTGGTGGTTTTCCTAAGACTTTTTTAAACCGCCTGTATCTATAGAAGAGTTACCAGTAAGAAACACGCAGCTTTTCCATATATTATAATGCAAGTTCTTCTTGATGCAACCTGACCCTTATCTATGGAGGTCAGGAGGGCTGATTTGTTATTCTCTCTCAATTTCCTCACTTCCTCCCTGGCTCCCTCCCTTGCAGAAGTGTTTTGCTTGCTAGCATGATGGACTAAGACCTTTTCCAGACTTTTTTTCCTATTCCTGGGTATCCTCATGAGAATTTCAACTGCTTTCAATTTCATCCTTGTTTATCTAGTGTCATTGTATTTCAGCAAGTCTGTGGTCCCTTGCCACTGTGTTTTATCTTTTTGTTCACCAAAGGCATGGTCAGCTTTGCTGTTGCTGTCTACTGATATACTGTAAACAAGCATATATAAAATTACTTACCAGAGCAGTTAACCAGTAACAGTCCAACCCTGAGAAATCAGGTGCAAAAAACCCACTGAAATCAGTTTCAAAACTCTTAGTGGCAGCCCCAGTGCCACAGCATCGGCTGATGTCATCCCAGAATCCAGGAACAAAATACTGATTCTGTGAACGTGAATGAGAGCTTGGCAATTAATTTTAATAGGACAAGGCTTTTCTTTCCACACTGGTGGGAGAAATCGTGTGTCCTCCACACGTGTTTATATTTTGTATGAGTAATGAAGACACTTGCAGAGAGCTGTGAGTAGTCCACAGTTGTAAAAATTCTGTCATTTTTATTATGGGTTCTGAAGACACTTTGGTGTCTAATTTTAAATACTTAAATATGCAAAATATTGGCTGACGTGTCTGTGCTTCTGTTGTGGGAACAAATTCATTAGCATTTGCCAAGTGCTCTTACTAAACATTTGAATGGCAGCAGTACAAAAAGACACAATTTTTTTTTTTTAATCCATACAAATGTCTTCACAGCATGCTCTATTTCATTTCCAGGTAATGCTGAAAATTAAGAATACACATTTTGGCACATGTTTTGTTTGAGACATTTGTTTAGCAGTCATTCACAGTGCTCCATTCTGATGCAGTTGATTTCTCAATACATTTCTCTAGATCCTTATAATAAATCTTTAACTTGCAGGGAAATATTAACCACCACAGTTGACACTTATAGATGAGACACTACACTGTTCAGCAGCAAGAGTTTAGAATATCTGGGTTATTGTGGTTACAAGTAGTTGTCTATTGTGTTCTTTTCACATTTTCTAATTAATAAAGGAATGCCAAATCACTATAGTTCAGAGACAAAAGATGTGAGTGCCTCCAGGCTGTTCAAAAGCTTCAGGATAACATACTTCACAAGCACATCTGAACTTCATCAGAGATACCAGTCTCTCAAAGATTAGAAAACAGGAACCTGCAACTTCCACAGATGTTATGAAGTATAGTTTCACTTTTTCTTTTTTAATTCCCCCCCCCCCAAAATAAGTAGCTACATATTCTTTTGGAGCAATGGCTTATGGCCTGAGAGCACAAGTGACTCAGGGACCAAGTTTCCTGCTTTTAAGAGTAGGCTGACTTGTTTCCTTTCTCAGATTCTGGGGGACCTCATTTTCCACAAAGAGAAATAAAACATTTTATATCCCAGTTTCTGAAGAGTTTAAGTTCTTGATTTCTTTGTTAATAAGCCAAATGTATTATAGACAATGATGAAAATGGGGAGAAAAAAATATATTTCACGTGCCTGCTCCTGCTCAGCTGTTCTACATGCAAAGTTATTTGTGTCCTCTGGTTACCAGTCTCAGTGTGAAAACACTCCACATCTCAAAGACTTCGACCACTGCATCTGTGCTAAATTTTTGATGCTGACATGTTACCTGCTACTGCTCCAACGTTTTCCGAATTACAAAGCAGAAACACTTGTATTCAGTTCAGTGACAGGATACAGCCTCCTTCAAGCACAGCTAATAATGAAAGAGCAAGAATCACAGGTTCCAAAGAACCATGTGGCACGGCTTTCAAAGAAAAGGACAAAACCCTTCATTGCAAAATTCTTCTGGAAAGCCACGAGCACTTGTTCTTAGAATAAAGGAAGTTTAAACTTAGGAAATGTGTACAAATAGAAATAGGAACAGAATGTACCTTCTCTAATCAGAAGTGTCAGCTGTCCAGCATTTAATTCACTTTCACTCTGAGAGAAATAGCATGAAAACTCAAACAGGGGTGCATTTTGATGGCATTTCCAGTCTTTCATTTTAAGGGATCAGGGACTCATTTTGCCCACAACTGGATGACCTATATGGTCTATTTCATTTACACAGCAAGTGGTTTTCAACTCCATTCTTCCATTTTCAGGTTTTAGTTTTTGCTAGCACACAACAATGAAACATGACATTCTTGAGGACAAGAATCAGTACGCTCCGAAAAAAACCCAGTAATTAAAAAAATCCAGCAAACTAATCAGATAGCTAGCTTTCACATACCTCAGACTAAACAACCTAAAGTTCAGAACTTCAGAATCACTAACTGAGTATTCAAAGCTTAAAAGATGCTCTCTGGAAAAGAACATACATTACTGTGAATGGAATTGCATCTTGGGCAATGGCAGCAGAACTTCTTGCAATTTACCTGCTTCCCATATTTAGTAACTGATACAACTTCAAACTTTCACAAAAGCAAGAGGAACTTTGGAAAGCTTAATTCAGTAAGGTACTGGAAGTGAATGGCAAAATTTTTACTTTAAAGACCCTATCCATAAGACCAACAAATATGAACAAGAAATACATGACTGCAAAAGTGCAAGACTCCTTCCCTGGGAGGAATGTCATTACCACAAGTACAGATGCTGAGGCTGAACCCAAAGGAGCTTTACAATGCAGAAAATGTAATATAACTACATATAATTGTTTCAATAAATCAATACAAATCCTATCTGCCAAAGAATCAGAGGTAATTCTTTTCTTTTTTTTAAATCGTATGTTTTAGCGGTACTTTTCAAGTTACTGAAATTGGTAGAGAATATCTCTGTTGCTGTATCATACTCCAGAACAGTTACTTTGATTAGAAGAAGTTTGCCTTGGGAAAGACTTTCTGGGGTACCCATGCTGGAGAAAAAGAATAAGCAGTTGTGTAAGAACAAAAACATGCATACCGAACTGGTGGTCAAATAAGCTTGCCTTACAAATGCACCTTTAAATTATGTTCGTGACACTAGAGAAAAGTCATTACAAATAGTCCCGGCTCTGACATATAAGCAAACTACATAAGGTGTACCTGACCTAAGAAAGTACCTGTGACTCAGCTAGTAATTAAGGGATCACAAAGTTTAGAAGTTGACTTAAGAAAAAAAAAAAAAAGAAAATAAAAAATCCCAACAGATTAAAGACTATCCTCCCCAAGTGGAAGTTATCAAGGGAATGTTAAAACAAATATATTTAAACTTGATCTAAATAGCAATATGCCAATTAACTAATAAAAGGCCCTGTTATTTGTTTGTAATCCATCAGAGAACAGCGCAGAAGCCATTAATAAGAGTAGAAAATTGAAGTAGGTGTGGTCAGCAGGTCAAAAGAGGTGATTCTCCCCCTATACTCTGCTCTTGTGAGACCCCACCTCAAATACTGCGTCCAGTTCTGGTGTCCCCACCATAAGAGGGACATGGATCTGTTGGAGCGTGTTCAGAGGAGGCCACAAGGATGATCCAGGGGCTGGAGCACCTCTGCTATGAGGACAGGCTGCGGGAGCTGAGTCTGTTCAGTCTGGAAAAGAGAAGACTTCGGGGGCATCTAATAGCTGCCTTCCAATACCTGAAGGGAACCTACAGGAAGGCTGGGGAGGGACTTTTTACAAGAGTGTCCAGCGATAGGACAAGGGGAAATGGGTTTAAGGTGAAGGAGAATAGATTTAGACTGGATCTTAGGAAGAAATTCTTCAGTACGAGTGTGGCAAGACTTTGGAATAAATTGCCCAGAAATGTTG